CGGCCGGGCTGTTTCCCAGCCTTGAGCCCCCCAGCCCTGCTGGGCTGCTCCCCATGCCATCGCCTCCCCACACGCCCTTGTCCCCGTGTTCCCTTGTCCCCGTGTTCCCTTGTCCCCGTGTTCCCTTGTCCCCGTGTTCCCTTGTCCCCGTGTTCCCTTGTCCCCGTGTTCCCTTGTCCCCGTGTTCCCTTGTCCCCGTGTTCCCTTGTCCCCGTGTTCCCTTGTCCCCGTGTTCCCTTGTCCCCGTGTTCCCTTGTCCCCGTGTTCCCTTGTCCCCGTGTTCCCTTGTCCCCGTGTTCCCTTGTCCCCGTGTTCCCTTGTCCCCGTGTTCCCTTGTCCCCGTGTTCCCTTGTCCCCGTGTTCCCTTGTCCCCGTGTTCCCTTGTCCCCGTGTTCCCTTGTCCCCGTGTTCCCTTGTCCCCGTGTTCCCTTGTCCCCGTGTTCCCTTGTCCCCGTGTTCCCTTGTCCCCGTGTTCCCTTGTCCCCGTGTTCCCTTGTCCCCGTGTTCCCTTGTCCCCGTGTTCCCTTGTCCCCGTGTTCCCTTGTCCCCGTGTTCCCTTGTCCCCGTGTTCCCTTGTCCCCGTGTTCCCTTGTCCCCGTGTTCCCTTGTCCCCGTGGTTGCTCAGCGCAGTGACCCACAGCGAGGGTATGGTCTGGCGCTCCTCTCCAGGGAAGGAGGGTTGTCGCCTCCGGGCTGGCTCCGACCCTAAGGAGTAGCCTGCTTTCCCGGAGCGCTTTGGGGGCAGCCTGTGCAGCGGCCACTCACCGTCCGTGCTTTTTCTGTCACTCCTGAGTGTTTCTCTCTGGTCGCTCCCTGCTCTGGCAGCAGCTCCCTTCCCTCCGAGCTGGCTTGGGCTCAGTTTCTGCCAAGTGGCTCAGTCTCTCCAGGGTCAGCTTGGTGGCCCCCAGGCAGTAAAGGACACCTGCATTCTGTCCTCTCTCCAGCTTGAGTTTCTCACGTTCATCCCTGTCCGGTCACAGCTTGGCAAAGCAGTGGCCATCCCACCTGGAATATTTGCAGCCCTCTGGATCTCTGCCTTTTGTAGAAGCCAGGGGAGCTCCATGGGCTCCTGTGGTTGCTGCTGCTTTTCCTCCTCCCTGGGAGAGACTGTGGACTATCCTGAAACCCAGTTCTCCAGCTGAGGGTGAAGGAGCCCACTTGTGCCTGCATCCCAGCCCTTTGTCCTTCTCCCTCCCAGAGGCTGTGATTTGGCATGGCTAAAGCTCTAATTCAGTTTCCACAGAAAAGATGAAAGGAAAACTTCACAGCAGGGGGCTGGAAAGGTGGTTCCTGCTCCTGACTCTTTCTCTTTTGGTTGGTGCTGTTATAGCTGCTGCTGGGAAACTTTCTGTTTCCTGTGAAAATCCCTAGAAACAGCCATATGAAACAGAAGTTGCAGCTAACTACAGAGCTGCAGCTTAAATGTCAAAACTTTGGTCAAAGTTGGCGAGTATCCCAAAAGGAGGCATCACAGGATGGGGATGGCAATGCTCCCCTCTGCGGTGCCACGCTGTTGTAGCAGCCACGATGCACATGCTAAGGACGTAACGTCATGGCCTCTGCAAGGGGACCTGTAGGATCCTGCTGTGATTTCCTTGTTTCCCCTTCCCTCCCAGCAGGGCAGACAGCAACAGTGAAGGGAAATGTGGAGAGTAGATGATTCCTCATTTTTTCACACCAAAAACAGTGCCTCTTTCTGTCTCTTCTCCCAGCAAATGAAGATAATCAGCTTCCAGAACGTAGACTGAGCGTAGACCTTGTTTCATTCTCGCCTCTTTTGGTCGTTTCTGGGACGCAGGTTAACTATGTCATGCCTTACCCTTCTGCATAAAGGGAAGAGGTGTTGCTTGCACTTCGAGCTCTGCTTAGCTTCACCTCTGGATTTCACTCAGCGTTGCGCATTACACGAAAGCTGCAGTGTTTGGCTTGAAAATAGGGTGGGGGAATAGTTTTAAAATAAATCTAAAACTGTTTAAATCAAGGAGGGAGGAAATCAATCCCTGTATTTTTTTTTTCATTGTACAAGTGAACTCCTTTTACTAAAATGCAATCTCAAGCAAAATGAGGCTTGACAAGCAAGAGGAGTGCTGTGAGTTTGTCAGACGTGGATGCAGGGAAGGCTTTGTACATTAAGGGCCTAGAAATTATTTGTGTAGGAGAAAGACCCTTGCACGAGACCCTTCTGGAAGGGGCCAGCACTCTGCGCTGAACTGCAGGTATAAGCTGTGTTGCCAGAGTTGCTTGAGACCAAATTGAAATGAGAGGTAGGTCCAAGTTGCTGACTGTCGGCCCTTCTGCTCACTGGTGTGCCAGTGTTGGCACTCTGGAACAGATGCCATTTGAGAGCAGCCCAGTTGTGCAGTGCCATGTCCTGCCACAACCGCATGCAACAACTGGTAAGACTATTGCTATTGCTGCTGCTTATCTCCTGACCTGGAGTAGCTCCTCACTAGGGGCCGTGTCTCCATGCAGATGTCTCTGCGCTCTGAAAATGGGCTGGAGAGTGTGCTGGGCAAAGGCCACATCGGAGCAGGAGCAAAGCCACATGGCCTTCCTTTCCCATGACATCAGCATGTTGCGTCTGTTTGAGACTTTCTTGGAGAACGCCCCACAGCTCACCCTGCTCCTCTATGTCATCCTGCGGGCAAACAAGGCAGAGCCTTCCCAAGGTAAGTGATTGGGGACCAAGGGAAGGGAATTTCAGGGGTGCAAGCTTAGGGTTAAAGCAGGCTAGAACAGGAGAGACCTCGCTGGGTGGCTGTGGGCTGCCTTAACCCCTTAGGATGCTGTTCTTCTGCCCTTGCTTGAGGTTCTCAAGCATCATTCTTCTCCTTATCGTGCTTTTCCTTGATGTGATGCACAGGAGGGTGGACCCTTGTCCTGCTCTGGCATGCCCTTGTGGACTGTGCTGGACCCAGGAGGGAAGTAGAAGCTGGGGGACCTCCGTGGTCATTCTCTTACCTTTCCCAGGGGAAACTGTGCCTGGAGAGAGAACCCCCACTGTACCTTCTTTATTGAGTGGTCCTGTACCTGCTTGACCAAGGCCCAAAGGTCAGGAGAGAAGTTGGGATCCTGTGCTGGGAAGTGGGGCACTCTGTTGACTGGGAGATGCTGTTGTGGACACGTGGAGAGTGGAGCAGAGCCTGCTGAGGAAGGGAAGTGCTTTGGTGCCCATCCAGGGATGGGAAAGAGCCTTCTAAGCAAGTGTCACTGCCTAAAGAAAGGCAGTGCTCAGAGCTCAGCAGCATGTTGGCTCAGTACTGATTTCCTGCCCATATGGGATGAGGGTTTCACTGGCCAGGGTAGTGGTCTCTGCAGTGCCACTCAGTTACATTGCCTCCTCCTCATCTCCTGGTCCAGCTAAGATTGGTAAGGGGAGACATCTTCTAGGAACAGAGCAGCATCGTCCTCCTCTATAAGAAGAGCAGGAAACCAGGGACAGAATAGGAGACAGAGATGCTGATGCTCTGACCCTCTGAAGCAGCAGCTTTCCTGGCTGGTGGACAGCTCTTTTTAGCTATGTCTGGCAGGGGAGGTATTTGGAGCAAGGTTAGCACAAAGGGTGTGAGCCCTTGCTCAATCTATCTGCTCTATTGCTGTATTTGCAGGAGTGGGGATCTGCACTGCCGTCCTGTGTGTGACCTGGTCCCTGCTGGACTATCACCAGTCCCTGCGCTCCTTTTTGCAGGACAAGTACGAGTTGAGCCTGTGTTCATCCTTCATCTACTTCCTGTGGAACCTTTTCCTCATCTGCCCCCGCATCCTTGCGGTTGCCCTCTTTGCCTTGCTCTGGCCATATGGTGTTGTCATTCACTTCCCACTTGTGTGGCTGGCCATGTTCTTCTGGGTGAACATGCAGGGCACAGACTTCATGGAGTCACCTGGCCCTGAGCAGCTCTACAGAGCCATGGTGGCCGTGATCCTCTATTTCAGCTGGTTCAACGTAGCAAAGGGGAGAACGCTGTACCGCAGTATCATCTATCACAGCTTTATCCTGGTGGACAGCATTCTGCTGGCTGTGTCCTGGCTCTGGTGCCTTTCCCCCTCCGATGAGTACTTGTACCTCATCCCAGTGGTTTCTGCTGCCCTGCCCTGCTATGTTTTGGGGCTTGTGTTGAGACTCATCTACTACAAGTGGCTGCATCCCAATGTGCGGGTCCAGCAGCAGAGTGGGTATGACGAAGTGGATGTCAGTGGAAGGACCGATGGACTGGAGTTTCGTGCTGCCTCAGCACCAGCTGTTGTGAACAGGCGAATGCAGTGGCTGGCCCAGACCCAGTTTGCAATCTCTTTGCAGGGAGAGCAGAGCTTGCTGAATGGAACTGCTGCTGCTGACACTGCTGTCTGAATCTAGGTACTTCAGGTGCACAGGGAAGAGCTGTGTTTCACTGAAGTTGTTTAATGTGCTGGGGAGGTGTGTTTGCAAGTCCTGGCCCCCAAGTTGTCTGCTTAGTGCCTTGGGCTGCTGTGTTTGAGCAGCTCAGTGCCATGTATCCTGACATAGTGGTGGGAGGTTGGAGGGGGCCAGGTAAAAAGCTTGGATGACTTGCAGATGCCCAGTGTGTCCCACCACCCACAGCACGGTTCTTGCTGCTGTGCAGCATGGAAGATCCAGTTGTTAATGACGGACTCAGCATATTGTGAAGCACAATCATGTCACCCTCTCCCATTATTTATTAATAGGCTCCCCCCCCCCCAAAAAAAAAAAAGCAAATTTGTCAT